GCAACAATGTGTCAATCGACATGCAACCCCGGTGTCGATCGACGCACACTATGTCTATCGACACAAAGCAATTGTGTCGATCGACGCACGACGCATAACTTATGAATCAAATCTATCCTCTCATGGATCGATTCCCGAATGCAACGCATCGATCTCCTGCACGAAATTCACCAAACAAACACGAAATCCAACCAAATAACACAATTAATCGCGTTCTATCAATTCTTTTACCCATATAAGCCCGTGGTCACACATTCACCTTAGATCTAGAAGGAAAAAGGATGGAAAACAGCGAACAACACGAAGAACGTAGATCTTTAAATCCGAAATCCACTCCTTCTCCGTGAAGAACGATCACCAGAACGATTCCAATAGCCTCACAGTCACAACCACGAGCTTTTAGGATCAAGAACACGAAGAAATCAACAATGATTCTTCATTTTCTCTCAAACTCTCTGGAAACCAAAAACGACACAAAACGCGGCCTCCCCCTTTTATATCGAAACCTTAGGGTTTCTCCCAAACCGAACCGCAATCCGACGATCGAAAACCGAACATGTCGGTTCAAATCAAGCTTGCATCGATCGACGCACGATCAAAAATCACAAAATTTGGTTCACGGTCGTTGCAGTAGATATAAGTTAATCCAATTTTCGTTGATGTGTGCTCGAATTCGTCACCCTTCCAACTCTCTCACTTTCAATGGTCAAGTAGTACGTCGGCTGAATTACCGATCAATGCTGAGTTACATTTCATGGTGATGAAGACCAAACATTTTTACATATTGTTCTTGCCATGGCTAGGCACATTACATTATACCCCGATACAATTTCAATAAGGCTCCTTCGTAGTTAATTACATATGAACCACAACCACTCATTGTGTTAGAACGAATAAAACAGCATGTTGTTTTGGAGTGATATAAAACGGCAATCACTTTGCAATCTTAAAATAGAAACGGCAATCACTTTGCAATCTTAACATAGAAACGGCAAACATGGTTCTAAAAATAAGTGATCATGTCTTTATGAAGCAAAAAAAGTCCACCCGAACGCAAATCTTTGAATATATTAATTGGATACGTTAAAGTTACAGTATCCTAGGATTTGACAAGCTAATTATGAAACCAAGATTGCTTTTACGAAAATTATAGGTTTTCTTCTAAAACTGTACTTGAAAATAAATAAATATAAATATATGCCATCTCTATCTCTCAACGGACATATGAAAACAACATTATTTAGTTAATAAATTAGGGAACATATAAAAAAACTAAAAACTAAAAACGAAAAGGGAAAGGAAACACTTTGAAAGCAGCCTCTTATCTCTCTCTCAAAGACCTATGTACGCAAAGGTTATAGTGGCAAAAACAGATAGATTCGGACAAGAGAACCCAAACCGAGAACTAATCTTAAGAGTTTAAGAAGCATCAAAGTCTTTTTCAAGATGCTCTCATTTTCTTTTGCTTCACGTACATGTAATCTTACGTATTCTTCAGCTCTACAG